CTTCAAACCTTTCTATCTTTAGTGTACAATAACTAGCTGTCAACATTATGTAGGTCACAACAAGTGAAATCTCAATCTCTATGTAGAAAATTATGCATGTTGCATATCCTTTTTATATATCCAGTCACACCAAAGACACGGTAAGCTAGCTTAACATGAGCCTTTTGGAGCTATGATATTGGCAACGTGTACGCATGGCAACAACTTGATCGCATAATCTCCTTCATGTACAAGTTTGCTTCATCCGCCTTCCATAAACAGTGAACATCCCGAATGATTTATTGATCCCTTCGTTCCTAAACGTGCATGTGCCCTGCCCCCATGTGCGGCAAAAACTGTAGTATTTTTTTAGTGTCCAAGCATCATTCGTTATTCCCTAGTAATGAAAAAACACGAGAGCCCATTATGCTCTTCCATTAATATGGGCCACATCAAGAGAGATCCAGCCTATTACTGGCGGCCCATCGCACGCCTGATGGCATCTGGGTTTTGCTGGATAGCATCATGGACAAAACAAATGCGCATTTGTTTAGTCCCACATCGGCCAGCCGGGGAGAGTCGGACTAGTTTATAAGGCAGAGCGCGGCAGCTAGCATCGTCCCTTCGGGGTCATCCGATAAAATTGGAACGATACAGAGAAGATTAGCATGGCCCCTGCGCAAGGATGACACGCACAAATTGAGAAATGGTCCGAATTTTTTTAAGATTTTTCATGGAAGTCCGTGGAACCTTCTTTCTTGCACTTGCGTGTGCTGCTATTCTTATAGAAAGGCCCTTTAGTTTCCCTTCTCTATCAAAGAGGCCCTCAATACTGCCTTTTTAAATTTAGATCCACACGCTTTCTCTTCTTTGTTATTGCAGATACATCCTTTCTGTAGTAACTTTTTAGCCTTTTTAATCTATTGTTACATGTTTTTGGGTTAGTCTTTCGTTTCAGTCCCCCTACATGTAGTATATTCCTTCAAAAAAATTATTGTCTTTGTTTCTTAATCCAAACTGTGATTCAGTCATAACGCAAAAACATGTTTCATTAATCTAATTTTTTTATGTTACCACCTAACAAACTCATCTAAGACTTGTGAGAAAACTCTCTCGAACACTAGCATTGGATTCTGGTATCACCCGAAAGAATCCCTTCTTCAAACCTTTCTATCTTTAGTGTACAATAACTAGCTGTCAACATTATGTAGGTCACAACAGGTGAAATCTCAATCTCTGTGTAGAAAATTATGCAAGTTGCATATCCTTTTTATATATCCAATCAAACCAAAGACACGGTAAGCTAGCTTAACATGAACCTTTTGGAGCTATGATCTTGGAAACGTGTACGCTTGGCAACAACTTGATCGCATAATCTCCTTCATGTACAAGTTTGCTTCATCTGCCTTCCATAAACTGTGAACATCCCGAAGGATTTATTGATCCCTTCGTTCCTAAACGTGCATGTGCCCTCCCCCCATGTGTGGCAAAAACTGTAGTATTTTTTTTAGTGTCCAAGCATCATTTGTTATTCCCTAGTAATGAAAAAACACGAGAGCCCATTATGCTCTTCCATTAATATGGGCCACATCAAGAGAGATCCAGCCTGTTACTGGCGGCCCATCGCACGCCTGATGGCGTCTGGGTTTTGCTGGATAGCGTCGTGGGCAAAACAAACGCTCATTTGTTTAGTCCCACATCGGCCAGCCGGGGAGAGTCGGACTAGTTTATAAGGAAGAGCGCGGCAGCTAGCATCGTCCCTTCGGGGACATCCGATAAAATTGGAATGATACAGAGAAGATTAGCATGGCCCCTGCGCAAGGATGACACGCACAAATCGAGAAATGGTCCAAATTTTTTTAAGGAAGTCCATGGAACCTTCTATCTTGCACTTGCGTGTGCTACTATTCTTATAGAAAGGCCCTTTAGTTTCCCTTCTCTATCAGAGAGGCCCTCAATACTGCCTTTTTAAATTTAGATCCACACGCTTTCTCTTCTTTGTTATTGTAGATACATCCTTTCTGTAGTAACTTTTTAGCCTTTTTAATCTATTGTTACATGTTTTTGGGTTAGTCTTTCGTTTCAGTCCTCCTACATGTAGTATATAGATTCAAAAAAATTATTGTCTTTGTTCCTTAATCTTAACTATGATTCAGTCATAACGCAAAAACATGTTTCATTAATCTAATTTGCTTATGTTAGCACCTAACAAACTCATCTAAGACTTGTGAGAAAACTCTCTCGAACACTAGCATTGGATTCTGGTATCACCCGAAAGAATCCCATCTTCAAACCTTTCTATCTTTAGTGTACAATAACGAGCGGTCAACATTATGTAGGTCACAACAAGTGAAATCTCAATCTATGTGTAGAAAATTATGCATGTTGCATATGCTTTTTATATACCCAGTCACACCAACGACACGATAAGCTAGCTTAGCATGAACCTTTTGGAGCTATGATCTTGGCAACGTGTACGCATGGCAACAACTTGATCGCATAATCTCCTTCATGTACAAGTTTGCTTCATCCGCCTCCCATAAACTGTGAACATCCCGAATGATTTATTGATCCCTTCGTTCCTAAACGTGCATGTGCCCTCCCACCATGTGCGGCAAAAACTGTAGTATTTTTTTAGTGTCCAAGCATCATTCGTTATTCACTAGTAATGAAAAAACACGAGAGCCCATTATGCTCTACCATTAATATGGGCCACATCAAGAGAGATCCAGCCTATTACTGGCGGCCCATCGCACGCCTGATGGCGTCTGGGTTTTGCTGGATAGCATCGTGGGCAAAACAAATGCTCATTTGTTTAGTCCCACACCGGCCAGCCGGGGAGAGTCGGACTAGTTTATAAGGCAGAGCGTGGCAGCTAGCATCGTCCCTTCGGGGACATCCGATAAAATTGGAACGATACAGAGAAGATTAGCATGGCCCCTGCGCAAGGATGACACGCACAAATCGAGAAATGGTCCAATTTTTTTTGAGATTTTTCACGGAAGTCCGTGGAACCTTCTTTCTTGCACTTGCGTGTGCTACTATTCTTATAGAAAGGCCCTTTAGTTTCCCTTCTCTATCAGAGAGGCCCTCAATACTGCCTCTTTAAATTTAGATCCACACGCTTTCTCTTCTTTGTTATTGCAGATACATCCTCTCTGTAGTAACTTTTTAGCCTTTTTAATCTATTGTTACATGTTTTTGGGTTAGTCTTTCGTTTCAGTCCCCCTACATGTAGTATATTCCTTCAAAAAAAATTGTCTTTGTTCCTTAACCTTAACTGTGATTCAGTCATAACGCAAAAACACGTTTCATTAATCTAATTTGCTTATGTTACCACCTAACAAACTCATCTAAGACTTGTGAGAAAACTCTCTCGAACACTAGCATTGGATTCTGGTATCACCCGAAAGAATCCCTTCTTCAAACCTTTCTATCTTTAGTGTACAATAACGAGCAGTCAACATTATGTAGGTCACAACAAGTGAAATCTCAATATCTGTGTAGAAAATTATGCATGTTGCATATCCTTTTTATATATCCAGTCAAACCAAAGACATGTTAAGCTAGCTTAGCATGAACCTTTTGGAGCTATGATCTTGGCAACGTGTACGCATGGCAACAACTTGATCGCATAATCTCTTTCATGTACAAGTTTGCTTCATCCGCCTTCCATAAACTGAGAACACCCCGAAGGATTTATTGATCCCTTTGTTCTTAAACGTGCATGTGCTCTCCCCCCATGTGCGGCAAAAACTGTAGTATTTTTTTAGTGTCCAAGCATCATTCGTTATTCCCTAGTAATGAAAAAACACGAGAGCCCATTATGCTCTTCCATTAATATGGGCCACATCAAGAGAGATCCAGCCTATTACTGGCAGCCCATCGCGCGCCTGATGGCGTCTGGATTTAGGTGGACAACACCGTGGGCAAAACAAACGCTCATTTGTGTAGTCCCACATCAGCCAGCTGGGGAGAGTTGGACTAGTTTATAAGGCTTGTGAGAAAACTCAATAACCACGGCAAACATTCGCGTGGACGTAGTGCCGGTCGCGCTCGCCGCCAGCTGCAGGGGCGATGGAGAATGCGGGAGGTGCAGGGGCCCAGCGTGGTGGTGATGCGGGCTCCTCTTTGATGCTACTGCGGCGGCGGCCCGAGGACGAGCCAGCCTCATGGTCATGCGCCCCCTTGCGGCCGAAGCTCCACTGCACCATGGCTGCGGGCTGCCGGCGATCTCAAGGAAGGGGAAGGGAGAGCTAGGGTTTGGGTGTCCGGTTTCGAGGAGGTCGCGGGCGACTGGAGTGAGAGCGTGGACTGCGACCGGTCCACAGCTTCCCTATTTAAGAAGGACGCCTACCGCGCGCCTGGGCGGATGTCAGGTGAGGACGGCCGCGCGTGCCCATTAATGTCGGGCGGTGGGAGGTAGGTGGCCGCCTGCCACGCAGCCCCAAAGCAGACGAGCGGCGCATCCGTTTGCTGTCCGCTGCGACACAAATCCGACGCATGTCTGCGCTCGAAATGAGTCAGCCCGGACACAAAACGAACCAGATGAATTCAGACCGTCGCACGCTGAACCGTGGGGCTTATTCGTTTTGTCCCAAACGGACGGGGCTGCACGGGAAGGGGTCGTGCGCTGCAGTTGGCCTGAGTCCTCTTCTTGTCCGAACGAATTCCAGTCACTTTCTTGGTGGCTTTGACTCCTTCCTTTCTTTCCTTGGCGACCGACCGACCAATTAAGGTGAGGTGAGGTGAGGTGGAAGCGAAGCGGCAGGCCAACCCCATCCCTGCACGTGCTCCCTGCTTCGCTCCACTCGTCACGCTCCAGCTGCCGGCCGGCCCCCCACCAGCACGCGATCTCCACTCGCTCCGTCCGGCCGGATCCCCTTCCTCCCCTCCGCAGGTACTTCCCTCTTGTTCGACTGATTTGATCCCAAAGAAAGAATCCTCGTGAGATCTCCACTTTCCATCTCATCTCGCCGGCCGGGATCTGAAGCAAGCTCGGATCTTGCCAGCGAACAGCCATGTCTTCCTCGTCGGACAACCCCAACACGGTCACCGACCGCGGCCTCTTCAGCAAGAGCAGCAAGGACGAGAAGAAGAAGCAGGAGGAGAAGAAAGAGGAGGAGGAGGGCGGCGGCGGGTTCATCGACAAGGTCAAGGACTTCATCCACGACATCGGCGAGAAGATCGAGGAGGCGGTGGGGTTCGGCAAGCCGAGCGCGGACGTGGCCCGGATCCACGTGCCCCACATCGGCCTCCACCGCGCCGACCTCGTGGTGGACGTGCTCATCAAGAACCCCAACCCGGTGCCCATCCCGCTCGTCGACATCGACTACCTCATCGACAGCGACGGCCGGAAGCTGGTGGCGGGCCTCATCCCGGACGCCGGCACCATCCGCGCGCACGGGGAGGAGACGGTCAAGGTGCCCATCACGCTCGACTTCGACGACATCCGGAGCACCTACGCGGACATCAAGCCCGGGAGCATCATCCCCTACCTGCTCCGGGTCGTCTTCCTGGTGGACGTGCCCGTGTTCGGCCGCATCAAGATCCCGCTGGACAAGTCCGGGGAGATCCCGATCCCGTACAAGCCGGACGTGGACGTGGACAAGATCAAGTTCCACCACTTCTCGTTCGAGGAGACCACCGCCACCATCCACCTGAGCCTGGAGAACAAGAACGACTTCGACCTCGGGCTCAACCTGCTGCAGTACCAGATGTGGCTCGGCGACGACAGCGTGGTGGAGGCGGAGCTCACCGAGTCCACCAGGATCGAGAAGCAGGGGATCACCAAGATGCAGATCCCATTCACCTTCAGGCCCAAGGACCTGGGATCTGCCGTCTGGGACATGATCAGGGGCAGGGGAACTGGGTACAGCATCAAGGGCAAGATCGATGTCGACACACCCTTTGGCAACATGAAGCTGCCCATCGACAAGGTCGGCGGAACCACTCGCCTCAAGAAGGACGACGACGATGACGAGGTATATCATTTCATTTCTGTTGATTGTTTCCTCTGCATCTTGCTTATTGCTGTGCAATCATCAGACCAGCTGGACGAGGCTTGTCCTGTTTTGACTAGGATAGTTGACAATGGAAGAAATTGATATGGTGTTGAGCTATTAGTAGGAATGCAATAGCTGAATTACAGCCCTCTTGATTTTTTTCGATATTGGTTCGATGCTAAAAATAGTACACAACCTAACAGAAAGAGAAGAATTGCCCTCTGTAATTCAGCATTTGCTGCTCTGTTTTCATTGTTGCCTCTGCATCTTGCTTATTGCTGTGCAACCGTCATACTAGCTAGACCAGGTTTGTCTTGTTTTGACTAGAATAATTCACAATGGAAGAAATTGATATGATGTTCCTCCGATTATTAGAGTGCAACGGCTGAATTACAGCCCTCTTCCGATTTTTTTCTGATATATTGGTTCGATGCTAAAAATAGTACACAAAAAAAGATTGAGGTATATCATATCATTTGCTGTTGATTGCTGCATTTACATCTTATTGTGCAATCGTCACACACTAGCAAAGCTAGCTAGGTCGGTTTAATCTTGTTTTTACTAGGATAATCGACAATGGAAGAAATAGCTTTGTTATTCAGTTGAGCTGTAGGCGTGCAATAGCTGAATTATAGCCCTCTTCTGAATTTTTCTGCTGGAGGTTCGGCGCTAAAAATAGTGCAGAACCATCTTTTTGTTGCATCGCTGCATTGAAGCTCTGTACACTCTCAATCATTTTGCTTCTCAGCTTGTTTTGCTCGCGTCATGCTCTGGTTCGGTTGAAACTCGCTAGTAGAAATATTTGTGTATAATTGTTATGCTGAAATTCTGCGTTGTCAGTGGCAGATACTTTTCCATGATCTGAGATAATACCTTTTAAAATCTTGTGACATCTGTTGCTGATTAACTTTAAAAAAAATCATAATTCTGCCATATCAGATCTGAGCTAAAAACCGTGACACCTGTTCTACTCCCACCTTAGAAATGCCAAATCATGTCAAGAACAGATGAAAGAAAAGCGTGCATATAGACCTGGGCATTTGTGACAAATAGAAGATATAGACTATATTTTAGATTTCTATTTTTATGACAAATTGAACCTGGAACCTTGGTAATCTCTTCATATGAACTAACCTTGCAGGAGTGAAGTGCTGTTACTGAACATACAAGAAAGTCAAGCAGGGAGCCAGGGAGGATCCAGCTGAACTCTTTACTCTAGCTTATGGTATCTTTGTTGATGGCATCATCCGAACATCGTCCGCGTTTTTATGTTTCGGTGCTCAGTGTTCTTCGTGGGAACTCATCCAGTGTGTATTCTTTCTGTGTTAACTTTGTCAAGTGGAAACAGACCTGAGAATAAATTCTTGTTTGTGGGGTGTGATGTTAGCCTTCTTCAGCCAAAATATTGTGTCCATGCCTGCTCCTTTTCCGCACCCAGTCAGCGAAGATTAATCTCACACGCATCAGTGGATACAAATACATATTTTTTCGATCACAAGGCACTAAAGCGGTTCAGAAAATAGGAAATTTATTTTTGAATATAAAAACATATTCTTTTTCATCAGCCCCGCGAGGAATTCAGCTACTTTACATTTCTATACAGCTCATGGCTTTCTTCTCTGCAGGATTATGATCAAACAAACAGAAAAAAGGTCAGAGAGATACATTCTGTGACCTCCCTCTCTATACAAACTGCTTCACTACGATGGCCAGATTTTTCCTTTCCATAATGCCAGCCAGCATCAGCATGCTTGATCAGCCTGTTGCCCTCGTTGACAATCATCATGGCCGCACCATGTTGGCGCAGTTGGCACCTCTGACCTATGGGCTATGGACCAAACGTCAGTTGATGTGCTCCTCCCCTGTACAAAAATATACACTTCTTCTCTTCCCCGCCCTTCTCTTGCCAACCGATGTGACAGCATCTCAATGCGATTTGGGTCGATCGGTCGACATTTGGCGGTCACTTCTTTTTCCGCTCTTGTTCTTCGAGCTGATTCCGAAGATTTTTTAAACCTTGCACTACTTTAGGTTTCAGCTTGTGCTGAAAAATCTTTCCTTGCAATGATGTTGACCTGCCAAACAGGAAGCCCAAAAAGATTGGGTTCAAAGTTACTACTAATTAGCAGCTATTTTGAGTTCTTAACGGAATATGGTACACGGCCGTTTCTATGTGGTTTCGCCTGGATGCTCAAACTGAATAAGAAAGACTCTGGACCTGATTTCCTTCAGCTCTTCGTCGAGCTCCAGTTCTGATTCTTTTATCTGCAGAACCATATGACAGACAATTTGTTGTCAGGTGATCTGCGCAGGGAAAATGGAACTCCCCTGTTAGATAATTGCATCGGCACAAAAGAAAAAAATGGAGTAGCATATATTTACAATATCTGGCTTTATATTGGGACAGATGAATCATGCAAATGCCCCAAGTTTGACCTTTTCATATCATATTTACCTTACATGGATTTAAGAACAAAAACATAGCTACCATGGCTATGTCAAGACATTTGGTAGAAGATAAGGATGAAGTGACAACAGCAAAATGGATATAAGATATCCAAGTCTGACATTGTTCCTCGAGCAAGGGATGCCATGGAAGCAAATTAGTAACAACTAACGACTAACCTCTTTAACCAGTCTTTTAGAGCTCCAAATAAGAGCACCCTACAAAACATACAACAAGACCATGTGTTAGATCATCAAGAGTAATATCTGATGAAAAGCTGCAAGCAATATCCTTGTCTACACATAAAGCTTCAACTGCTTCCGAGTTCATCTAGTTCAGGTTGATAACACTCCTACAAATGACCACACCTATTATTTTGTCAATACATCAATTATTCTCAGTTGCACTTTTTTTAGCAATATCTTTGGAAGGCAATGATCTGTTTTCCAGAAGAGCTATGCTACCTAGCGAATTTTCTAGTGTTTCCAGTTAAGCAATGCAGCAGAACATAGCAAGAAAGGTACAATATCTAAGTTCACATGCTGGTACATGAATGTTTGATGGAAGAAGACCAACAGAACAAGGTAATCATGAGGCAAAAACATACTTCGCCATGTGATAATTGTTGCTCCAGTACATCCGACGTTACAACCCAGACCTTTGGACATCCATCTGCCACCAAAGCTTCAACCTAAGTTAGTAGAAAGAATCAGTGTAAGAAACCTCTTTGTAACACTACACATATAACATATATTCGGTATGATGGCACTCCATGCCCATTTGATTAAAAAGTCACTTATTGGTGCTATGCATGTAAGTTTAGTAGTAGGATCAAAATTTCCAAAAAATGCCCATAACATGAAAATATGGTGGGGGAGAACCTAGATCCTAGAGTGCAGCAATTTCAGATTAGCATAAATCGTACTCATTCTAGTGATTTTCCTATGTTAAATTGAGATTTGAACAGTTGGGCATGAATATACAGCTAATAAATATGCCTAGGACATTCCTGCTGGTTGAAACTGACTCAGCTATTTTTACAAACAGTTTTAGACTTTTAGTGACACAATCCTCATGGAAACATGGATTTTTGCCTATTAAACTTGAATATTTGCATGGACTTTTCACTGGCGTGAATTCATAGAACTAATCTACAAAGAACTCTGGGGCATTCTTCCTCAGTTCCATCTGATGAAAAACTTCGTAATTTGATTTACCTCCTTCTCAATCCAACAATCAGCAGATAAGTCAGCAGAATATACCACATCAACCCTGTTCAAGAAAAATTAGTTCGTTAAGGTTCCCCTAAAGACCAACTAAAAAGGATGGTTGAAACATTTAACTTACATTTATTCTATGATAATATACAGAGCATCAACATCTGACGGAAATGTCTAGCATAAAGCGTCAATTTAGACATGTGGAAATGATCTAACACACAACAATACCTTACCCTTTATAAGTTTCAGTGTGTGTAGCTTGCCCGGACAATGCAGCGTCAAATACCACTACAACTTTTATCTCTGCAAGCATCATAGTGATGAATGACATAAGATAGCTGATGTAAAAGAACACCACATGGCCCTCGAGAGGAAATTATCCGTTGCAGTTACGGTCTTAGAGAGTAACAGGAGATTGTGCGCTCCATATATACTTTGATAGATACACATTTTTACAAGTAGTAATTAATTTTCTTTCACTACAAACCAGAGGACAAGCAGTACAACAGCCTATCAGTTTCTAGCAGCAAAAGAGACAGTACAGTTGATGCATGTGACCTTTCTTTTTGTTTGAAGAAGAATCATAGCTGGACCCTAAATAATAGTTTGTTTAATCCTCTGGTACAAACCTCGTACTGCACTGAATGATACCAGCTCATCAATGAGCATCTGCCTCGCAATTCCTTGATTCCCATTCAAGAAATCACTCTTAAGCTTTCCCCAGTAGCCACATACATTGTAGCCATCCACAAGAATAACCGGGGAGGCGATCTCCAAGTTGCCGTCATTTGTGCTAGAGGAAACAACAGCACAAATTCAGCAGACCCGTCGAATCACCAACCTAAGAACAAGTCAACCCACTGGATATGAAAGAAAACACGATCCTCACCAGGTAAGAGTGGCAGAAGGGTCCTCGTAGAAGTCCGTGTCATCGGGAAGCACCTCCTTCATTACTTTCTTTTTGCGGAACCTGGTGGCAGGCTGAGGCCCGCTTGTTTGCTTCCTTTCGTAGTCCTGAAAACAAGGGTAAGATAGTTGTAACAACTGGTGTGCATTTATCCGATGAATGGGCAGGACAGGACGCTGTTACAAGATTCAGACGTATCTGAACACAAGTGGCAGTAGATGCATCCCATGATCCGACCCCATCAGTATATGTTTTCATCTCTAAACTGATTGCCACAAATTGTAACGATGGGACCAGGTAGGAAACCATACTGCAATAATGCAATTGCTGGCCTTTCTTTTCTCTCTCGTCTCGTCTGAACTGAAACTGAATGCAGGGACGCCTGTACAGGAACAGTACCTTCCAGAATTTCACGATCCTCAGATTCTGCTTGACGTTGGATGTAATCCTCGGAGGCCGCCGGTCGACCTGCAAAAATGGTGCCAAGTATGTGAGGACGGCCGCGGCAGCACATACCCTGATTCAAGATACCAACTCCCCGTTTCTGACTAAAATGAAGAACAACTTCAGAACAAAGTTGCTGGGAATAATGTCCGTTTTTTGAGTCCCCTTTCAACATTTTTGTTCATCAACGGAAAATAAGAAGAGTTCACAAGATTTGTTACAAGATTAATCAATCTTGATGCCAAACTGACTCGTCTTCTAGGGGGATTGATTGCAGGGGGAGGGGATGGGGATTGAGCTGACCTTGTTGGCGGCGGAGGAGGAGGCGGCGCCCCCTTTGGTGCCCTTCCCCCTGCCCTTGTCCTTGGCCATCACCACCACGATGGAGGTCGCCGAGTAGGCGGCCGAGCCCACCATCTCCCTCCGCCGCCGCCGCCGCCGCCGCCCTTCCGCTCCTGACGTGTGGTGGAGGCCGCGCCGAGTAGGGGTGGGTCACTGGGAGGAAGAGGACGGAACGGGTGGTCGCCTGGTCAGCGTGGCGTCGCTGTGGCTTGCGAGCACGTTCCTGTCTTCCACGCCGTTCGATCTAGCCTCGAGATCCGCGCCATCTTCATTTCAGAAACATATTTTCCGTTTTGGCTTACAAAACCTCTCTCTTATTTTGCGTCTAAATTTGAACATTCATCATTCAAGAGATAAAAAGAGCAACATACCACAAATATATCACCGGGCTCACATCCAAAAGTAAACACACGGTTGTTCTTACACGGCTCGAATCCAAGGTTTGGTCCTAAAGATTTCATTTGTATTTGCAAACTCGTATCAACCATAAGAGCAGCTCCAACGGGGCGACCCATTTCGTCCGCTGGCGTCCGTTTGGATCGGCGCGGACACAAAAGTCAGCTCAACACGTCAACCCAAACGGACGCGTGTCCACTTTTCGTCCGCGGGCGATCCATTCCCGGCCCATTTTTGAGCCGGATTTGCGTCGGCGCGAACACGAGACAGACGCGCGCGCGCTCGCCTTCTCCTCCCCCGGGCCCGCTGGTCGGTGGCACATTCGCCTCCCTCCATCCAACATCAACCATGCCCGCCTCCTTCGTCGCCCTGCCGCCCATTTTCCGGTGACTCTGCCAGCTGCCGGCGACCGTAACATCCTCTGAGCAATGCCGCCACCTCCGACGTCGCCACCGCCGTCTTGCCGTCAGGAACCGACTGCTTCCCACCCCGACACCCCCGCTCCCCCGACACAGCCGCGACCGCAACCAAGTAGGCGCCTCGCCGTCCCCGGCCAGACCCTCACCGGCCCGCTCATCGGACGCCGGCAGGGCAGCTAGTTGGTCTGTGCGCGTCGCGACTCCCTTCGCCGGCCGTCTTCTTCATCGACGCTCGCAAGCTGTTCGGCAATTTGCCAAGGTACAGAATAGACTCCGCCGCCGAGTTCTTTTTTCACAATTTCCTTTGCGACTCCGACGGTTCGTCGTCCGTTGACGAGGAGGAGATATTGGCTGCCGCGTTGGTCCATCACCACCTCAATAGCCAACTGCCGTTGTTCCATGGCTCCATTCTAGGCCACCTTCCGGTGTTGAATCACAACCGGGAGAGCGGGCATTTCCTTCTTTGAAAGGACTACTTTGATACAACAAATCCGTTGTTCAAACATCAGAAATTCCGACGCCGTTTCTGTATGAGTAGGCATCTTTTCAACCGTATTAGAGAGGGGGTGGTCAGCTACGATGACTACTTCGAGTGCAAAGAGGATGCCGTTGGAAAGATTGGTTTCTCCTCTTATCAGAAATGCACTACCGCCATCCGAATGCTTGCATACAGAGTGCCCGATGATCTCATTGATGAGTACGTCGGTATGAGCGAGTCTACATGCCTAGAGTCCATGTACAAGTTCTGCAAGGCTATTATTGATGTGTTTGGCCCTGAGTACTTGAGAGAGCCGACTACTGAAGATACAACCCGTTTGTTGGCGATGAATGCCAGCAGGAGCTTCCCAGGGATGCTTGGCAGCATAGACTGTATGCATTGGGAGTGGAAGAACTGCCCTTCTGCTTGGCAAGGGCAGTATAAGGGCCATGTCAGGGCTTGCACTGTCATACATAAGGCGGTGGTCGTGATGAACCTGCTCCTCAAGATGGCCGTGAAGGAAGGCGTTGGAGACATCCATATGATAAACCGGCCTGCCTCGGGAAACCGCCAGCTGGAGAACAGTGTGGACCGTGCTCAGTTGAACAACCGGTGCAAACGTCTGAGTGAAGTCGATACCAGCACGCTACCGAAAGCCACGGACCACCCAGCGGGCCTTGTAGTGCTCAAGTGTACCATCCGAGCAGGTCTTATGGCGAAAGACCCACTTGCCGCTGATGACATTGGCGCGAGAAGGCCGAGGAACCAATGTCCATATACGGTTCCGCTGAAGAGCATCGAACTCTCCCTGCATCGCGGGAAGCCAGTGTGGATCACGAAGGGCTGCTCTAGCGGACGCGGGGATCGGGGACAGCTCAGTGGTGGAGACGGCGAGCAGTTACTCGTCTCTAGAGTACCGTAGACTCGGGCGATGAACGCCGGCTCGAGCCCGAGTGACGGGGAGAGACAACAATTCCGGGACAGCCAGCAGCCGGCTGGCGAGGAGGCAGCCGGATAGGGCGCCGGCGACGAAGCCGGCGTGCATTGCGATGGCGGCGTGGGTGCGCGAGGCGCAGCTCGGGAACTATGTAGACATGACCGAGACATCTCTCCGGTTAATAACCAATAGCGAACCCTGGATGCTCATATTGGTTCCTAGATATTCTACGAAGATCTTTATCGGTCGAACCATTATGACAGCATACGTTATTCCCTTTGTTTATCAGTATGTTACTTTCCCGAGATTCGATCATCGGTATCTTCATACCTAGTTCAATCTTGTTACCGGCAAGTCTCTTTACTCGTTTCATAATACATCATCATGTAACTACCGAGAGGGCCCAGAGATACCTCTCCGAAACTCGGAGTGACGAATCCTAATCTCGATTTATGACAACCCAACAAACACCTTCGGAAATACCTGTAGAGTATCTTTATAATCACTGAGTTTATGTTATGACCGTTAATCTCCAGTATCCAGGAGTTGCATAATCTCATAGTCGAAGGAATATGTATTTCACATGAAGAAAGCAATAGTAATAAAACTGAACGATCAATACGCTAAGCTAATGGGTGGGTCTTGTCCATCACATCATTCTCCTAATGATGTGTCCCGTTATCAAATGACAACTCATGTCCATGGTTAGGAAACCTTAACCATCTTTGATCAACGAGCTAGTCAAGTAGAGGCTCACTAGGGACACAGTGTTTGTCTATGTATTCACACATGTATTTAGGTTTTTGATCAATACAATTCTAGCATGAATAATAAATATTTATCATGAATAAGGAAATATAAAATAACAACTTTATTACTGCCTCTAGGACATGTTTCCTTCAATATAGTGTCCAAGCTTGTAGCCAACCAAGATTTATCCAACAAAACATCCTCAATTGTCGTGAATGTCGGACCTCTTGCTTGGGTATCTTTGCCCTTTTCTTCTTAGTGCGGATATTCCCCCAACATCAAAAGTAGGACAATTTGGTTCCCCCAAGTCATATTCCGTAGGGTCTGTAGGCTCTTGTTGCCCCTCATTGATCATGTCCGACATGAAATTTTCCTAAAATGACTATGATTCCAAATAAACTAACATAATATGGATGCAACTTATTGATTCAATGGCATATGCAACTAACTCATCCTCAATCGAAATGATACAAAATAGAGCAAAATTTGTACCGTCTCCTGATGGGTCATTCCGTCGAACAGGAACCAGGCATACTGGGCATTTTGTCTACATGGATGAATTTTTCCATGATCTCAGTTGAGATCAAAGTTGATGTTGACTCCCATCATATCACAACGACTACTTAGTGGGGCTTGTATGGTCCACTAATGTCGGAGTCAAATCGAGCATATCTCGAGTAGGGGTTCCTGAGCTAACTGTGGGCACGGGGTTTTACCTAGGTTTGGGATCTCCTAAGAGATAAAACTCTACATCTTGTTTGTGTTTGTATTGCTTTGGGATGAAGCACAAGGTACAGGTAATCTACCTCGAGATCATAATGTGTCTCTAGATGTAATGATATGACTAGCCCAACCTTGGCTTATATAAGAATACTGGAGGCCTCGGATTACAGGAGTCCTAGTCAGCTACGTCGGTGGAGGAGAATCCTCCATTAATAATGAGTCCTTGTCTTGAACGTCAAGGCTTCTTGATTTTCCTTAGAGATCGCCATGGGCTGCACAAAGTGGCCCAGGACAGAACCAACAACAGGGTCCTTAGCCCGGCCCACCTAGAGTAGAGTCAACATGGAAAGAGACCCCCTAGCCGAGACAACGTCACTTAGGGCCCAGGAGACCTGACCGTGGCCTTGTCCTAGCGATGTGTATAGGGGCTCAGCTTGAAGATATAGTATGATCATTGGTAGTGTGCAAGCTAAGAACCCTCATGGCGAGGTCTATTAGGATCCATATAAGCCCTAGCTCTTGCCATCTGTCGGTGTCAAAACCGGCGGATCTCGGGTAGGGGGTCCCGAACTGTGCGTCCAGGCGGATGGTAACAGGAGACAAGGGACACGATGTTTTTACCCAGGTTCGGGCCCTCTCGATGGAGGTAAAATCCTACTAATGCTTGATTAATATTGATGATATGGGTAGTACAAGAGTAGATCTACCACGAGATCAGAGAGGCTAAACCCTAGAAGCTAGCCTATGGTATGATTGTTGTTCTACGGACTAAATCCTCCGGTTTATATAGACACCGGAGAGGGCTAGGGTTACATAGAGTCGGTTACAATGGGAGGAGATCTACATATCCGTATCGCCAAGCTTGCCTTCCACGCCAAGGGAAGTCCCATCCGGACACAGGACGAAGTCTTCAATCTTGTATCTTCATAGTCCAGGAGTCCGGCCGAAGGTCATAGTCCGGCTATCCGGACACCCCCTAATCCAGGACTCCCTCAGTAGCCCCTGAACCAGCCTTCAATGACGACGAGTCCGGCGCGCAAATTTTCTTAGGCATTGCAAGGCGGGTTCCTCCTCCGAATACTTTGTAGAAGATGTTGAACATAAGGATAGTGTCCGGTTCTGCAAGATAAGTTCCACATACCACCGTAGAGAGAATAATATTGGTACAAATCTAATCTGCTGACGTATTCCGCAGTGTGACATTATGCCACGGCTAAGTCTTTACTCGAATCGTTTTACTGTCCCACCTCAGTGCGTTTAGCGAGGAGGTTTTCTTGGCACCTCTTGTCAAAGCAGAGATCGTGTCCCCTTATTCCTGGATTCTCATTAATACGGGCGTGGGTAACCCAACCGTGCCATTGGCATGTCTCCT